TGTTAATTTCTACCTTGATGGCATTGTGGTCAGAGAAGATACTGTGAATTATCTCAATTCAACTAAACTAGAATTTAATGTATTTCAGTTATAAAGCTGCAGAAGTCTATGAAGGTATGTTTCAAAGTGGGTGTAGAGATATAAATAAACATACATATGCTTAAGTCAAGGCATTATAATACTAGCTACATTGTCACTTCCTATTTCTCTAGAAAGTTTACTCGGATGTGCTTCTTAAATCTTTGCTGCAGTATTACCTCTATAGTGATAACCAAGGTATCACTTGCAAGTAATTAAGAATCAGTGACCACACTTCTTAATCACTGGTTAGAAAAATCTTTTACAGATGCTTCTCTAGAAACTACAATAATACCCTTATTCCAAGGTTGAAAATAATCACTGTTTAACACTCCTGGAAGCAAACATTGAGAATAAAAGTGATCTGTAGACTACATCAGCAGAAAATCAGACTCCCTCCTAAACCCTAAAACTCTCTGCTTAATGGAACCTAAAGAGTAGACAAAAATGGTATATGCAGACAAAGACAGCAATAGTTGGAGGCAAAAATGACAAGGAATATTTGAAATGATAGGATAAACTCCTATAATTGTACCTGTCCCATTTACCCTTTGACTTATTGCCTCTAAACTCATCTTTCTCAAAGTGTTTCTGCTATCTGGATCCTAAATCCTTGTTGCTAGGCCAAAGAAGTCACTCTTCTATTTCAAGTTGTACAGCAGCAATAATATAGAACCTTTTTAGACAATCCCTGGCTCTGATTACATTACTATCAAAACAAGTTCAGGTGGATCACAAAACATTCTTGGCACTTTAATCCCCTGTGAGACTTTTAGGATCAGCTTGTCAGGTCCTAGGAAATCCCTGTTGGAATTCTGATTGACCTAATTAATTCTGAGAGAACTGCCATCTTTATATAATATTATTTTCATCTACTAAATTCAGAAAATGTTGGTGGAGGGATACACAAAACTGCCTGCCTATAACCCCAGGCACTCTGTCTGGGTTGCCTAGCAACAACCTGGCTGGGACCAATGAATTCCCTTAAGCCAAAAGGAGGAACTGTCAAAATACATCTCAGCAAGGGACTGGCAGCTTCTCTCCCTGCCCCTAAGAGAAGGACCTTCAATTTTATACCTGGCATCCAAGGTCCCCCCTAGATCCTGAGCTGTCCCAATATTCATGTAAACAGATGAAACTTACTATGGACTGAATTATAACACGCAAAAATATGTGTCAACTTGGCTAGGCCATGATTTCCAGTATTGTGTGGCTGTCCTCCATTTTGTGATCTGATGTAATTATGTTCCATTTTGTGATGTGTTATAAATCTTAACCTTCATATATTAATGAGGTAGGACTGGGGTAGTGTGTATCTTGAGTCATTGTCTTACAAGACAGTGCGACTCAAGTCACGCCCTTACTCAAGTCACACCTTTACTTGAGTCACACCTTTTATCTTTTAAGAGATAAAGGGAGAGAGAAGCAAGCAGAGAGGGTACCTCACCACCACCAGTAAAGAAGAGCCGGGACTGAACTGCATCCTTTGGACCTGGGGTCCCTGCACTGAGAACCTGTTAGGCCCAGGAGACTACAGAGATGGCACAGTGGGTGTGCCAACCCCCCAAGTGAGAGAGCCGAGCAACTTCAGGCAGGAGGCTTGCTGGCAGAGTGGGGTGCTTCTGCGCACTTATCAGTGGAACTGAAGAGCTTTGAAACACTTTCCCAAGCAAAGCAGAGGATGGGCTGGGCCGAGGGGGTTGAGGGTCAAGAGAGAGAGAAAGAGAGGCCTGCCTGAGGGCATGGCTGAGAAGCTGTTTCTGAGCCTGAACTGTAACCTGTTACGCCAAGACACATGGAGATCTCCAAGGAACACCAGGCCCATAAATGCTGAAAGGAGACAAGGGCGTTCCCCTACAGCTGACAGAAAGAGAAAGCCTCCCCCTAGAGCTGGTGCCCTGATTTCGGACTTCTAGCCGCTTAAACTGTGAGAGAATAAATTTGTTTGTTAAAGCCATATTTCTGTTATAGCAGTACTAGATAACTATGATAGAATCTGGTAGCAGAAGAGTGGGGTGCTGCTCTAATAGATACCTCAAGTGTGGAAGTGGTTTTGGAATTGGGTAAAGGGTAGAGGCTGGAAGAGTTTTAAGGTGCCTAATAGTAAAAGCCTAGACTGCCTTGAAATGAATGCTGGTAGAATTATGGATGTCAAAGGAAATTCTGTTGAGGGCTCAGAAGAAAGTGAGGAGAGTTACACAGACAGTCTCTACTGTATGAGAGACTACATATGGCACCTGCAACAGAATATTGCTAGAAATGTGGATGTTAAATGTGATTCTGGTGAGGCCTTAACAGAAAATGATGAACATGTGATTGGACAATGGAGGAAGGGTGATGCTTTTTATGCAGTGGCAAAGAATTTGTCTGAATTATGTTCAAATATTTGGTGAAAGGTAGAACTTGTAAGTGATGAACTCAGAGATCTGGCTGACGAATTTCTAAGCAAGATCTTAAAGGGCCACGTGGTTTCTTCTTGCCACTTATGGTAAAATCCAAGAGGAAAGAGATGAACTTAAAAATGAACTGTGCAAAATGAAAACAGAACTCTAAGATTTGGAAAATTCTACTGTACAAACTAAGGACACGTGTCTTAAAATGTTCACCAAGGACATGGCTACACAGTCTTCTGTTAAAGAGATTAAGCCTGTGACTGATGGATCTAACCAAATACCACAGTAGCTTAGACTGAAGAGAGAGAAAGAACGACAGGAGAGAACGCTGTCTGTCTCTTGGAATTCTATAGGCAGGTAATAGGCCAAAGGAGTTACATCTGTTGTCCTTCAAGAAAAGAAAATCATCATCCTTGGAGCAGCTCAGAGATCAGCAGAGCTGTTGAAGGAGCACAGGAAGCAGGGCCTTCTCAGTTTCAAAGGATGGGGCCACAGTCTCCTAGATCTCAAAGGGTGCTGCCACAGCCTCCTAAGTTTCAAAGAGTCGGATCTTTGCAAACTCGGTTCTGGAGTGTGGGGCTGCTGTTAAAGTATGCCAGGGGATGGGGTCACTACCCAAAGCTAGGGGGCGGAGCTGCCATGCCCAAGGGGCAGAAGAATGGGGCCTGCTGGGGTGGGGGAAAGGACGGGGTGGTATCGTCACTCAGATGGACTAGGAGAATGGGGTCGCCCAAAGCCAAGGGAGCAGAGTTAAGGCGAAGCTGAAGCCCAAGGCTGAGGGGCCTCCAACCAGAACCTAGAGGCCGTGGCCAACACCCAGAGTCTGGAGGGTAGGATCATTAACCAGATGGTGTCAGAGAAGAGAGCGTCATTTCTAAGACTTGAAAGCTAATGTAAATTGTTCTGCTGGGTTTTGGACTTGCTTGGTACCTGTTATCTCTTCTTTCCCTCCAGTTTCTCCCATACGTAATGGAAATGTCTACCCTGTGCCTGTTCCACCATTGTATTAATACTTTGGAAACAGATAACTTGTATTCTAGATTTCACAGGTTCACAGAAGAAGAAGAATTTTTTGTCCCAGAATGTAATATGATTCAGATGATGAGATTTTTGGATGTGGAGTTGATTTAAGACTTTTGGGTTGATGTGATGGGGTGAATGTGTTTTACATGTGCCAAGGGTATGAATTCGGGGGGGCCAAAGGGTAGAATGTTATGGATTGAATTATGTCCCTCCAAAACTCACGTCAACTTGCCTATGCCGTGATTTTAATATTGTGATTGCCCTCCATTTTATGACATGTTATAAATCTTAACCTCTATATGTTAATGAGGCAGGATTAGGGTGGGATGTATCGAGTCACTGCTTTACAAGAGTGTGTGACTCAAGTCACGATTGCCCTTACTCAAGTCACACCTTTTATCTCACAAGAGATGAAAGGAGAGAGAAGCAAGCAGAGAGGGGACCTCACCATGAGCAAGAAAGAAGAGCTGGGACCGAAGTGCCTTCTTTGGACTTTGGGTCCCTGCACTTAGAACCTCCTAGACTCAGGAGCTACAGAACTATAACACCAGAGATGGCACAAAATGGCGAGAAGTGGTGGTATAGAACCAGCAGCAGCAGAACTAGGAGACTGGCAGGGGATAGCAGAGTGGGTGTGCCAACCCTCCGAGCAAGAGAGCTGAGCACCTTCAGGCAGGAAGCATGCTGGCAGAGTAGGGTGCCGCTGGGCATTTATCAGTGGAGCTGGGCTTGCCGACCCATGGAGACACAGAGCTAAGTGCCTTTGGGCTGAGGCTTATTAGCAGAGTGAGGTTTCTCTGGGCACTTATCAATGGAGCTGAAGAGCTTTGTAACACTTTTCCAAACAGGGCAGAGGACAGGCCAGGCCAAGGGGCCGAGGGCCGAGAGAGAGAAAGAGCGGCCTGCCTGAGGGCATGGCTGAGAAGCTGTTCTGACCAAAAAACTGTATCCTGAGTTGTTTCTGAGCCTAAACTGTAACCCGTTATGCCAAGACACATGGAGATCTCCAAGGAATGCTAGGCCCACAGATATTGAAAGGAGATAAGGACCTTCCCCCGGAACTGACAGAGAGAGAAAGCCTTCCCCTAGAGCTGGTGCCCTCATTTCGGACCTCTGGCTGCCTAAACTGTGACAGAATAAATTTCTGTTTGTTGAAGTCATCCACTTGTATTCCTGTTATAGCAGCACTAGATAACTAAGACAGCACCTAATCTTGAACTTCCTGTGACCCAAGCACTATGTTTGTCTCCAAACTTTACAGGTCCAAGATCACACTTGTCTCATAAAAAAAGCAACAGAGGGGATGTGCACCACTCCAGAACACAACCCACTATGTGTCTAGTAGCTGTGTTTGGCTCTGTTAGCTCTCCATAAGGTAAGTAGGTACCTGTATGACTCCTCTTGCTTACCCTTAGCTGGTTAAGTTTCCTCAGTTACACCTGTTCCTTAACCCATACTGCAGGTCATTGTGATAACTCCCTTAACTTACCTTGTCACAATGTGAGATAACACAGATAACTATTTGTCCTAATCTGAAATCCAACTATTACTAGTATTTTATAATATAAATATTCAAATAGCCATAATTATAAAATATTGGCCCCTTGTTACACTGTTTACAAGATATAAACTTTATCTTGTCAAAAAAATTATGAGAATTATTTTGGTTGCTTTAAACTAAGCAGTATTGAAGGTTTCACAGAACTATGTTAAAAAATAAAAATAAAAAAGAACTGTGACACCGTAAGACATTATCATGAAACAAAATCCAGAATTCTAAGAAAGAAGAATAATTTCAAGGAATAAAAACTTACCTTTAAGTTGTTAGCTTTTATAAGACTTATTTTAACCTGTGGTACGGGTGCTGGATTATCCCACTGATCACAAAGTTGAACAATAAGAGGGTTCTGTAATTCTTTTCCATTAATAACTGGAATGGACTGAAATAGATAAAACATTTTAAGAAACACTAAAACATATATGTCGAACAATCTAATTACCGCTTGTACACTTGTAAAACAATGACTTAATTTAGCTCTTTTCTATTCACAAGTAGCTTCTTTCACAAACAAAAATAAATTTTTGAAAGTCAACGAAATTGTCACAAATGACCCACTTCTTACATAACTAATTAATAATTTCATGAAAGGAAAACCAGCATTTGACATTACTGGCTTCTAGCACAGATCCTAAAAGGTACATATTAGAATGACTTCAAAGGGAACAGAAGCTTATCTCGGGTTCTCAGACTTAGCACAGCAATCTATCTGTGGTTTAGTTCCTCTTTGTCAATTTTCAGCTCTCTGCCATTTCACATTAAACAGTAATACAGCTTTCCAGCCCTCTGTTAGACAGTACCATTCACTGATGACCTATACTGTCTTATTCACTTAAAGTGCTTCTTGCCTTTTCCTCTACTTAATATGTAAGACCTGTGTAATTCAGGCATTTGTGGCTGACCTATAAATACCAGATATACCAAAGAAAACACATTATCAAGCAAGATACCTAATAAAGGCCCAATCCCCCATGCCAGATTTTTAAAGGGGGGGGTAAAAAAAAAGAAGTAGTTGGGAGAGAGCAACTAATGTAAAAGGAAAGCTGATTTATCACCTCTCTCCTACTGATAACATTCCCTCTGCTTCCTCCACCCTCCACTCTTATCTGAGGTGGCTGCTTACCAAATTATGTTGAGAGGCTGTTGAAATTGGAAGAAAAATAACATCTGTGCTATGGACATACTTTATAAAAAGCTTGAATAAAAAAACTGCTTTAGACAGTTTCCAAATGTAAATACATCAAGGCACTTTATTCATAATCACATAACTGTCTACCAATTAAACAGTAGCTACTTTTAAAAAATACTGTATCCTTCATAAAATAACTTGCACCCCAAACTGTTAGTAATAGAATTTCCTGGGAAATAACAGAAAAAGCAAATCTCCAAAATCAGTTGTTTATGAATGTAAATCTGACCTCTGCCATTTTTTAACTTTGGTGTTTTTTTTACATTTCAAGATTTCAGTTTCCTCATTTATAAAATAATACTTCATAAGGTTGCTGCAGATTAAAAGAGAGACTATATATGTGTGTATACTAATATATTTACATTAAAAAAATTTATAATGCTTAGGTGTTAAATCAGTTTCCCTTTTTCACTTAAATCCTGTGGGGAGAAGGTGGATTACAACTTAAGAAATTCTAGGAAAATCAGATGTTTAATTACTTTTTCAGCCTTATCTACATATAACCATACCTCTAACAGAATTAGAAATTACTTTTAGGCTTTATTTTTAAAGTTCTGGATTACTATGGTATCTGCAAATAAATCATAAAATTCATAAATATATTATGAAATTCTGTGTTAACAGCTACCATTATTTTTAGTATTACTCCCCCCCAAAGAATCTTATAAAAGCTGAACATGTCAAGATTTTTCCACCTATAAGATACACAATTGTTCCAGAATATGGTCAACCAACAAATCTTATTGGTCAACCAATAAATCTTATTGGCATTAACAGGCAAATAAAGTGTTAGTTTATACAGTGTGTTTCCAGATAAAAAATAAATGCAATGAGTTTTCAGTGAAATCCCTCGTCAACACACTATAACAGAAAAAAATAAATTTTTAAACTGCATCCTGTCAGAACTAGTTCATCCGTTCTGTAAATTCACAAATCAAAAAAGGTGATTTCAAACTAAGGCGTTCGCATGTAAATTTTCTTAGATAACCTGCTCCTTTACTAGTATAATTTCATCTAATATCAAAGTCATGTGAGTTCATTCTCCTTTATAAAAAATGTAAGCTATTATAGCAACAGTTAAAGCCCTGCTACACCATAACTGAACACCAGAATCTGACGTTAAAATTATGAGTTCTAAAAATTCAGTGAAAAATCAACACAGGTAACAAAAATATTTAAGTACTCGTGTAGAAAAGCATACAGAAGTATTTATGGATGTAATGAGTTGATGTCTGGAATGTGCTTTAAAAACTTCAGCAAGAAAAAAATAGAAATGCATACATACACATTTTTTTTAAGTTAGTGGGAAAGACAATGAAACAAAATTGGCAAAAATCAGTAACTTAAACTGGGTAACTGGCACACAGGGGAATTCATTATACTATTCTCTTTTATACATGTTCAAAAATTTCTGTAATAAAGTTTTTAAAATCTGAATTATCACACTCATTATTTTTAATAAACTATGAACACAGTAAACAGCCTTGGTAGAATAGTGATTAAATGCTTAGCTTCTAACTAGAAGGTCAGCAATTCAAACCCATCAGTGGCTCTGTGGGAGAAAGATGCGGCAGTCTGCTCCTGTAAAGATTTACAGCCTTGGAAACCCCATGGGGCAGGTCTACTCTGTCCTATAGGGTCGTTATGAGTGGGAATTGATTCGACAGCAATGGGTTTTACGGGTATGAACACAGTAATGAATCAAATAATGAAGCATGAAGAAGTCTCACATTACTTTGCCCTTTTGTTACTGTTACTATTGCTGTTACTTCACTAACAAAATATATCTATTCTGATTCACTGACAATCTGAAAGTAATAACCCATGTTATATTAAATTCACTCAATCAAGACAGAAAATTACTTACCTCCTTTAATTCTGGCCAGTCTATAAGAAGAAGTTTAGCTGGGGGTCCAGAAATTAACTTCACTCGAATGAAGTCAGAAAACTCACGCCAAGTAAAACAAAGATCCTTATTTCCAGGAGGACCTGGAACAAATTTGATGCCTCTTACACTTATACTTTCTGTGTTTTCCTAGTGAGGAAGAGTACATTGAGAAAAGACAGGAGAGTAACACTTAGTTTCCAGAAAAACAAAAATGTTTTTTCATTAACCCATGTGGGTACAGATGTGTTTATATGGGTGACATAATGGCAAATAACCTGGATACCTGCCAATACTAGCATATCATGAATTTCATTTCTAGAAGAGAAACTGAATTTTTTTTTTTGTGGGAGAGGTATCTAAAAGGCTCTAGCTACAACTTTCACTTCATCTTTTCCTAATTGCCCTCTTCCTTATACTGCCTCCTCAAGCACGTGTTGCCTCATTGGCCTTTGTACCTGCTCTTTTGCTCTGCTTGCAACATTCTTTACCAGATATCCACCTGGTTTCTCCTTAGTTTTCTGCACGTATGACACCTTAATCAGAGGGGTCTCCCTGACCATGCTACATTATGACACTCTATCCCCTCATCCCACTTTATTTTTCTTCTTATTACTTATTTCTTATCCACTGTATGTGCTCCTGATGACAAGGTTATCTCTGTGAGGGTAGGGTTTGGGTTTGTCACTGCTCAATCTCAGCACTTAGAACAATGCTTAGCACGTCACATTAATATGAATCTATGAACCTGCCTGTAATCTTTGCAATATGATTGGATGGTATAAAGTGATTTCATACTAGCTTTAACACTGCAGTATTCACGTTTTAATAGTGACTTTAATGATTTAATCATCTTAAATTTCTACTAAGTACAAATTTACTTTTTCAGATTTTAAAAATCAGAGATAAAATTCCAAAATTTAACTTCTAAGATAAGTGTTTGTAGAATGTTTTCTATAAAAAGACAGTGCAAAAACATCACAACTTAATCGCCCTTAAAAACCCAATGAGCTCAGAGGAATTTTCAATGCTCAGAAAACAAATTAAATAGATGTTCATTAGTAAAACTTATTGAAATTTCAAAATGTATAATCTCCCCTAGAATTCAACAATTAATAGCAAAACAACCAAAAGCCCTCTTAAAGAAGTTCCTTCTTTTTGAAGTCATGTTGGAAGTTGTTCTGGTTTTATTGCAAATCTTAAAAATGAAATCTGTATGTGCATTCACAAATTGTAGATGACTACAAATAGAATATAAAATTTGAAAATGAGCAAAAATGGTAAATATCAGCTTTAAAATGACACTAGGCAGAAAGGAGGTCAACTTGGCTGGAGCGTGGCAGGCCATGGGGAGGAGGGTGGGAGACGATGCTGAAGTGGAACGCTATAGCAAACCTATACTAAGGAAATGGATTTTAAATTGAGTGCAGTGTAAAATGCTGATAGGCTTGACAGGTGGCATAGGAAGAGAACTAAACATTGACCATTGGATTTGGTCAGGTGGAACAGGAGAGAAAAACATGATCAGAGTGGCTTGCTCACGAAACACAGGAAATGATGTGAAAACAGAGTGCATACAACTCTTTCAAGAAAGAGGGCAGTGGATGGACAGAGATGCAGGTCCAAAGGAAGTGTAAGTATTTTGGGAGGTGTTGTTTTTTAAGACGAGAGCTATTCAGCATGTTCACAGTTTGATCGCAATCATCTAACAGACAGGAAAAACTGAAGATGTAGGAGAACAGTACAATTTAGGAGCAATTACGTGAAAGAGTCCCATGGGAGTCTGTGCATAAAGTGACAGGAGCAGGGACTGTTCATGCATAATAACAGAAACACAGTTACTTCCTGATCTGCTCACAGGGTGAAGCTAGATACTGGAACAACCTGATCTGAATGATAGATACAACTGAATTCTTTATCCTATTCTGTCTCCTTGCAGATATATTTGAAATTGTTCATTATAAAAAGTTTTTTAGTGCCTTTTATGACTTTTCATTTTAAATACTAACGCTTTTTTTTAGTCATTTTAGTCTTTCCCAAACTTCTTGCTATACATAAAACATGGTATAAACCAACTGCTGTGGAAAGGAGCCATACCTGAAAAGTCATTTTCAAGTTCGAGCTATCAAGTCCAACCCCAGCAATTCCCAAAGCAGATAAAGAACTTGGTGAAAATGCTTGAATCTGATTTCCATACTGATCTGTCACTATTACAACTTAAAAAAAAAAAAAAAGAAAATTTTTTGAAGTGTTATCTTTTCAATAAAATGAACTTAAAAGTTTACTCTTAGAAACTCACTCTAACTTGGCTCTCTTATATAAGTAATTTAAAACTTTTTAAATGTATTTTATATATTAATACATTTTTAATAATAATTTTTATAACTGCTATAAAATATGACTCAAGAATCTACATAAATACATTTAGATTATATATTTAATATGATACAGATGTTCATCAGATTTTTAACCAGGAAATTTGAAGGAAGTGTAAGTATTTTAGGATTAAATAATATTCTTGTTAGTTGCCACTGAGTCAACTGCAATTCATGGTGACTCCATCTGTGCAGAATAGAACTGCTCCACAGTATTTTCAAGGCTGTGAGCTTTCAGATGTAGATTGCCAGGCTGGTCTTTCAAGTTACCTCTGGGTGGATTCAAACTGCCAACTTTTCAGTTAGCAGTCGAGCATTTAACCGTATGTGTCACCCAGGGACTTCTTGTAATATTCTAAATATAATAAAAACACAGGATACATACACATATTTACTTTATACTTTTAAAATTACTATTATTACTTCTAACAAAAGTAATTTTTTTTAACAAACTATTTTTGCCAAACTGATTATCAGGATAAGCAAAGATAGTCCGAGTACTCCAATCTTTTCTGACAATGGATTTTAAACCAAAGCTTTCCCTTCAGATTAAGTATGCAAAAGCATCAATCAATGCAAAGAAACATTTTGAACGTGTTTTAAAAAAAGAAAGCAGGGCATACTAACCTATTTCTCCTTGAAGTTCTTGGCCCATCTGTACTGTTTTTCCTCCTTTTAACTCACATTTTAGATGTTTAGGTTCATCAGGAAGTGGCCTGAAATTGGTTAACAAATTAAAAGGCTTTAGTTACATACACCATTAATTGTAGGAAAAAAATTAAAGCCATTCCATTATGCTAAAGCGTAACATACAGTAACATTTACAAAACTTGAATACAATAATGCCCTTCCAAATACCTTTTCAATTTATAGTACAGCTATTAATCAGAAAGGAAGTGGGGAAAAGAAAACTTGCAAACGTAATAGAAAACACTGACAAAAATTACAGAAGCATTAATTCATACTGTATATGAAGAATTACATAAAAATTATGACTAGAGAGCACTGAGAAAGAAAACAGATGGGTCAGTAGGAAATAGAGTGCTTATCAAGGACCTGGCTGTGGTCAGAGTACACCTGAAATTCTTCCCTCAAACATGTAAGTTTAGGAAATAGTGTGGAAACAGGTAGGAAAATTAAAGTGAAGGAGGTTATTGGGAAAAGAGGTACCCAAGGAATTTATAAGCCAAGGTGTTACATAGGTTTGTTACATATTCACTTAAGTCTTCCCCTTTTCTATCAGTTCTAGATATTCAGTCTGCACTTAGCTTTGAAAATCACAACTAATGAAAAAAATTTTTCTTTTGCATAACACATTCACTGATCACATTGTTATCTTATGTATTTTTTTTGTCTTTGTCATTTTGCAGGTGTTTTTGTTGTTAGTTGCATACGGAGGACTTTCCTTTAAAGAAGGTTCTAGTTCTTCCAGATACTAGAAAGCCAATTAAGCCAAGGGTTACGGTGATAATAGTAATTAATCACTATCTCCAGTGAAGCTTTATTCCAAAGTCAACCTACCATATTTCATAGAAACTGCAACAATTTCTACATTAAAAACCACTTTTCTAAGTGTGCATTAGAGAAAAATACTTCTGTTGACATATGCTGAATTTTAAAATACCTCAACATATAATAAGCCCACAAACCTTACTGTAAATGCACTTTCCAAAGACACATGATCATCTTGGAATGAAACCTGGCAATAACGCATATCCTTTACAGATGTTGGTACTTGTACATCAGGAAGCAGACCCTGGAGCAAGTGTTCTTTGTTAATATCAGGAGTCCAATTAACCTAGGAGAGAAATAACATGTTTAGGAATGATATAAAGCCTATTCTACCTAATGCCCTCCTACTGTCACTTATCTTAGACTTTTTTAAAAATTTTTTTAAATTGTACTTTAGATAAATGTTTACAGAACAAATAGTTTCTCATTAGTTAGTACACGTATTGTTTTATGACAATGATTAACCCCATGACATGTCAACACTCTCCCTTCTCAACCTTGGGTTCCCTATTACCAGATTTCCTGTCTCCTCCTGCCTTCTAGTCTTTGTCCCTAGACTGTTGTGCCCCATTAGTCTCATTTTGTTTTATGGGGCTGTCTAATCTTTGGCTGAA